CAGAAACTCAATCAACACCTAGTGCTCATGCAAAATCCGGAGCAGGAAGTCGGATGAACACCAGTGCAAGTGCAGTCGTAATTGTTTCTGAGTATGTGGATATGTTTGGTGCATGCAAAACAATAACATGCGTGCATGTGGAATTCATACTTGATTTGTGATGTTTACATGCTACATGTCACATGTTCAGCTTGTCTCGTGTTAAACGAGTGGAGGACCTGTAGCAAAATACAAAATCTTCCAGCGCTACTATATTTCCTGCTGGTGGTCGTGGGAGTGTAGCAGCAGACCAGTTCTTGCAGGCAGAAGTTGAAGAAACAGCAGCAGGTGTAATAGCAGTAGGAGCAGTTGCAGTAGTAAGCCTTTTGTCATGGCAGTGGTGTATCGGGTTCTTTTGAGGCTCTAGAGGTGATGTCTTTTGTTTGTAGGTCGTCCTAACCTACGTATAGTAGTAGCACTAGAAAAATTATTAGGAATAGTAGTAATAACACTAATAATAATCCTCCTTCTGCTTCTTCTGCTACTACTACTACTAGTTCCACTACAGACTAGTACTATTCTTGCTACTTCTACCACAACAACTACAACTTTAACTACTACTACTACTACTACTACTACTACTACTACTACTACTACTACTACTACCATTACTACTAGTACTACTACTACTACTACTACTACTACTACTACCACTACTACTACTACTACTACTACTACTACTACGACTACTACTACTACTACTACTACTACTACTACTACGAGCACAGGTACCAGTACTAGTATCATGTCGTCGTAGTAGTCGGAGTTGTTTTATGTTTAAGTAGCATCAACAGCAGCACCCGTACCTGTCGTAGTAGTAGCAGTGGCAGTCGTAGTAGGAGTAGAAGTAGGTGTAGGAGAAGGAGTGGAAGTAGTAGAAGGAGTCAGGGTAAGTAACAGCAGGACCAGCAATAACAGTAGCAGTAGCAGTAGCCGTCGTAGTAGAATTACTAGTAGAAGCATTAGCAGTAGCAGTAGTAGTAGCAGTCGTAGCTGTTGCAGCAGGTAGTAGCAGGCAGCCATACCCGTAGCCATAGCAGCAACAGTAAGACGAATGGTAGTAGTAGCAGTAGAAGTAGTGGTAGTAGCAGTAGTAGTAGTAGTTGTTGTTGTTGCAGCTGTAGTAGTAGTAGTTGTTGTTGTTGTACAAGTACTAGTACTAGTTACTAGTACTAGTACTAGTACTAGTACCAGTACTACAACTACTACAACTACTACTCCTACTACTCCTACTGCTACTACTGCTACTACTGCTACTACTGCTACTACTGCTACTACTGCTACTACTGCTACTGCTACTGCTACTGCTACTGCTGCTGCTGCTGCTGCTGCTGCTAGGTACTACTACTGCCAGTACTACTACTGCTACTGTACTGCCATCCCAGGAAGTTGGTCGCGACGGTGAAGGCATCTCCTGAGCCGAAGAAGAAGATGATGAACGATGAGAATGCCTATGTTTTGCCACCTACTGTTGCTTGACTCAACTCGCTGTATCGTTCCGGAGGACTGATCTTAGTGGTGTTGTGTTCATACTCAGCTTTGTGGTGCCTGCACTGAAGATCATGCAAGCCTTATCAAGCCTTGCATGGCATTTCATGCTGTGAAAGTTGGGAACCCTAGACTGGCAACAAAGTACAGGCTATGCTTGCAAAGACAAATATATCATTCAGTCCAAAAGAGCACTTCGATCTATCTACTTTGATGAAATACGGACGGCCCTATAGTGTTGCTGTTGCTTCGGACCAGGTTGCTCGACACTACAATTTCAACGACATTTGTGTGCAAATTCAGCCAGTGAATTAGCTTACAATGGATGAATGATTGATGAGACGGTGAACATGTCACAGGATATCGGGCCATGTGCATGGGTAAAATATCATCTGGCTCATGTGTGGCTGCCATCTGTGAATGGTGAAGATACCGACAAAGGTGGTACAGCATACTACATGACCATGCGAAAACCAGAACTGGCTGCATCGGTAGGCTGTAAACGATTAAGGAAATTTCTACTAAATGGCAAGCCACTGTCCAAGCCCAAGTTAGTCGTGGTGATATTCTGTGAAACTATGTATGGTGATTGTTTAGTGGCTATGTAGGGTTCTACGTGTTAGGGGGTCAAGTGCTTAGGGGAGTATTGGGAATTTTCTGCTGTAGGAAGCAGGACTTTAGGGTTTGTAGTGTGTCTTCTTTCGAGTTGAGATGGAGTTGATCAGGATTTTATTTCGGAGGTTTCAGATTTAAGGCTCCAGGAACTCAGGGTATTCATGGCATATGGTTTCTAAGGGTGTATTGACGTACGGAGACCTGTGGATGACCTGCAGTAGGGGCTCCTTTGCCTTCTCAGCACGTGGAGTTTAGGCTGGAGCTGCAATAGAGGGTGCTTCTATTATACGATAAGGCTGCTATAGTCTGGGATTTGTAGGGACGGTTGCAAGGTTTCATATTGAAGATGATATCTGTGCTTGGGGTTTGCAGGGCTCTAGGTTTTTTGGGGTTCCGATTTTAATGGTTTAAAAGTTTCCAGGCTTTTGGTACACTTGTGCGTTACAAGGCTTTGTAGGGTTTCGGCGCTCGCACTAGAGGTGTTAAAGTTTTCAAGCTTTCAGGATCAACCGGATTGCGTCAATTATAGTGGGGTTGAGGGTTCAATTAATGTGTAGGCTTCAGCGACATGAACTCGGGGGCTGGGGTTTGTGTTCGATATACTGGAGGTATCTGCAACTTTGTAGAGGGTGATGATGGTAGCTTATCTAGGGCCCCAGGTTTTAATGCCTTAAATACCAGACCACTCTAATACCCACAGTTGTTTGTGTATCCCCTACATCCACTGGCATTCACCTGATTCCCAAACCCCTGACCCTACAACAGGGGAACCTGGAGTGCCAAAGTGGGACTGCTACTGCTGCAGCTACTGCTAGCACTACCACCACCACCACCACCACCACTACCACTACTACTACTAGTACTACGACTGCTGCTACCACTACCACCGCCACTGCCACTAGCACTACCACTAGCACCACTACCACCACCACCACCACCACCACCACCACCACCACCACTACTGCTACCACCACTACTGCTACGACGACTACTACTACGACTTCTGCAACTACCCTACTGCTGTGGCTAAGCCTACTAGTATGGCTACGGTTGCTGCTACTGCTTCTGCTACTCTGTGGCTACTGCTACTGCTACTACTGTTGCTGCCAATACTACTGCTACTAATATTTACTAAGACTTACAAACACTACTAGTACTATTAATACTAGTGCGCCAAGCGTCCCTAGCCCAGCCATCCCAGGTACTGGCCAGCATGAAGTCGGTCTCGAAGGTGGAGACGACGCCCTTCCTGCCGCGTGTTCAGCTGCTGGGCTCTTTAACTTTGGGGTGTGTTTGGTGTCTGCTCACTAGAGTCGAATTTGGGTATCGGGAGGTAACTATTACCCTGCCCATAAGCCCGAAGGTGGAAGTGTTCAGCAGCTCCCCAAGATGATCAAGAAGGGGATGATCCTGGGGAGAAAGTGGGCAAGAAGCGAGGTCATCGAGCCAAGGCCAAGAAACAACAGATGTGCAAGAACAGGCGAGCCAAGAAAGCCCGGAGAGTTAGGAAAGCAGCGAATGCCACGAAGACTCCAAAGGAGAAGGAGGCATCTGTGAAGCAGTCGGCTCAGGGGCCAGCGAAAGCAAAATCGTTTGGTCAGTATGTTCCGGGTCAGTATCGGGCCGCTTGGCTAGCATACGTAAAGGACATGAAGCAACACTATGGCTGTGATTACAAAACCGCCTGTGCTTGGTGGAATCAGAGTGATGAGCGTGCCGAGCTGTTGCGAGAGATGCCGCAGTCTAAGCTTCGTAGGAGACGATTCATTTAGTCGTCTTACAATTCTTGCAAGTTAGATGTTGCATGTAGCAGCTTTTTCTCAAAGCTTCTCGGAATGCAAGTGCAACCTAATGAGCTGCCTCTATGTGCAACTCTGCAAACATGCTGCATGGATGAAAATGACGTATGCTGAGTCTTCTTTTTGTGCTCGGCAAGATTCCGCTTCCAGTGCAAATGCGCTTCGAGTCGTGACTCCACTGCTCATATGTGCTGTTCAAGCTGAAGCAGTCAAGTGATGTGTTTGTTCATAGATGTCGAGTTTGCATTCCTGGAACCAATGCTGGCTGGGTGCCAAGGATCGAGGGCTATTTGTGGGTGGGGAGGGGGGGGGAGTTGCACTTTTAAAGTGTGTCTTCATATTGGGTTTGTCTGTGCAAGCATATAAGTCTAATTGGTTCACCAGCATGCCGGACTTGTTGTGCAGGTGTGCTTATGTCTGGTTCTGGTAGCTGAATTCCGCAGTGCCTCTGCAGGATGATCGAGCCTGCCACGTGCATTCGCTGTGGTGCAACCGCCTGTTGCTTGTCATTTAAGCTATTCCGTTTGCGGCTGTGCTTGTTCTTGTGTGAGAACTGAAGACCAATGATGATCTTGCTGTTTTTGAATCTCTGAAAGCGAGCGCAAATAACAAGCATTCCATCAATCTGTGTAGTAGTATCTCAGGGCCAAAATCGCGAGTGATCGTGGACTTCCTCGGTACCAATCCTGAGCTGCGCTGAGTGCGTTCACCGATCCTTTCAGCTTTCTTTCCTTCGTGTCACACCGAGCATGAGATTCATTCTGCAAGGGAGAGTAGTGAAAGGATTCAGGGTGTTGCTGTCGCATGACTCTGTTTGCAGCGTTTGGAAAGCCCATTTTGTGCATACTTTTATTCCGACAGACCCATGAAAAGATGTGCTTATGAGTGTTATGTGCTGGTGGCTGCTGCAAGTTCGGGTTCAGCGCTGCTGTGAGATGTGCTGCTGAAAGATTGATCTGTGTCGAGCGGTTAATTATGAAGCACCAATAGATTTGCGTGTGAGTTACCGTACTTCTTGTGCTGGTAGCTGCAAGTGAAGCTTCAGCGACTCAGAGAGCCATGGTCGTAGCAGAGCTTCTGCATTGGCGTGCCCCAATGCTGCTGGTCATGATCAATGTTCTCATGAGCTTCATGTCTGTCTTGGATCAGAGACAGGAGTGGGGTTTACTTCTGGAGTGATCTTATATGCTCTGATATCTGTCCCATCGCAATCGGCAGGACAATGACTTTGTGGAACTCTTTGCTGGTGCTGGAGAGGTCTCCTCTGGCCTCCGGGAGGACCATTGTATTAGTTTAAGGCCTAGGATCGCTTGGTTTATGTTGTTCCCACACTTTGCGCACTAGTCTTCCAAACGAGTATATTATTCACTGGGAGGCTGGAGCATCCGGAGCCTCTTTCGAGATCCTGGACAACCCACAGGCTTTTGATCTTACCACGCCGGTTGGTTTTGCTCTGGCATTGAACGAGGTTAGACGGTTGAAGTCTGGAGGATGCTGTGTCATTGCATTGTGCTGTGAGTCTTTTTCCTCGATGTACCTTGCCTGATATATTGAAAAGTTGTTTGTTGTCTTTAAAGCTAGGATGCATCTGTGAGTAGTGATTATCTCCTCTAGCCGAGGTCTCGATACACAAGTGGCCGCACTGTGATTCATCCTCTGGGAAATAAAGGCTATGACTTTGTCAAGAAAGGTAACCTTCTGCTGTGCCGTGTAATTCTCCTCATTCTCGTTGCCTCCTACCGGGGGGCCCGGTGGCTGCTGGAGCAGCCACATGGCTCTTGTCTTTCTGACCATCCGCGGTGGGACTGGTTGATGACTCGGATTTCAGAGTCTGGGTGTGTGCTTAGTACTGTATTGGTTTTCGTTGGCACATACACGTGTAATGCATGCTGCTTCGGTCCTGTTGCTGTCATGTTCTAGCTACATTCTGAATATCTAAGATCTGGCGTGGGCAATGGTATATGGCAAATTTTGGAGGAATCAGCCCCAAACGCCACTTGGGATGGAGCAATGACTTCCACTTCATGGACTCCATCATGAAGGAGGGTGGTTATCTATCCCCTGAAGCCAGGAAAGCCCTAGGACCCAGCAAACTTGTCAAAAGGGGTGTGTCAGCTGCTGGGAAGTCAACCTATACCGGTGTCTCGAAAGCATTGAAACAAAGCCAGAGCTTGGGCTGAATTTAGTTTTATTTCAATCCGTGTCAGCGGCAGCCAATGGGTATGAAGTGTGATTGTCTCACAAGCTCAGGAAGTATCCACATGGCTTTGGGGTCAAAATCGCAGAAATTTTTCGGGCGCGACAGGATGCTGCTAGGCTGTTGTTCTTATATAGCTTGCTTTAAACACTATTATATGTGCACAGGGTGGTGTCGGTGTAGGTCATATGAAGCTCCGTTTGCCCAGGTAGTTCTCGATGGACCTCTGGACCCCAGGTCTGTGGATTGGAAGAAAAGCGACTATGAGTTGTTCTGTGACCATCTACCAGAGACTTGTGACGATCTGTTTGAGGATGTTTCTTAGAGGCAACATGCAAAAGCTTCCTTCAATCATGAATAGCCTGTATGTTGTATTTGCCGAGGCTGAACTTCCGGATGTTCTTCTGTACCTGCTTGGCTGCCACAAGTCCAAGCTGAATCTCACAGGCCATTGGGAAACTCTGCTGAAGCATATGTGGGTTGCGTTTTGTTGTTCCCAGTATCTGTGAAGCAGTTTCACAGGTCGGGTGTGGTGATAAAGGAAATATATATATATATATATATATATATATATTGATATTGTTGCCCCACTAGTTCTGCAAATAACTGCTGGGGGCCCTTGGGCAAGTGATGCTTGTGTTTGCCTGTTTGTAACTGTAGATTATCGGTGCATGCTTTTCGCTGGATCTGTTCATCCTGAAGCACCCAAGGAAGACTTCTTCCTGCGGCTGAGAGGGTGCCTGGGCTGATATGTAAATACAAACATGTTCCTGGCTTCGGGTGACCCTGGCCGGGTTGAGGCACCTTCTGCTGTCTTCGACAACACCGGCTGAATCGCTGAAATTTTACTTGGGCAGCCACAATGCTGCGTGAGTCCGGCCTTTGTGCAGTTTTGTCTGCCAAATTCGATATCAGTCCCAGCCTACACTTGTGTCTTGAACTAGACCATGGAAGTTGGTTTCGTGTGTAATGTCATGCCTGTTGTGTAAATATCCGAATATGACATATTTTGGTGGCTTGGGGTGTCTGAGCAGGGACAAAGTTTGGTGCGTGATTTAGCGTGGTTTCGAACCTATCTGGCGTGATAATGGAGTTATTCCGCGTGGGATTCGTGATCGGGATTTTTCTGTCCTGCACCAATGCTAATTTGCTGAGATTTGCTTAATCTGCTGTAGTCTGGCTGCAGGTACCATTATGGTGATGCATGCACAGCGAAATAGGAGAGTAACACTCGTGATTGCAGCTGGTTCGTCGGGGGCTCCGGGATTTTAGCGGGATGCTCGGGATTGTGCCGTGGGTTTCGGGATGCTTCGTGATTTCCGGGATGTTCTGAGGTATCAGCAGGACAGTCGGGATTGCACCGTGATTTTCGGGATTGTCATGTTTCTGTGATGTGCTAAGCCGTCTCAGAATATGCTCGTGATTTTCGGGATCCTTTATCGGCCTTGTGCTTGTCGGGATTGTGCCGTTACTTCCGTGATTTTCGGGATTGCCAAGATACTTCCGTGATTTCTAGGATTCCTGCTCACTTCTGTGATGTATTGCGTAGTGGGATTGCAAAATATGAGATTCCCTGAATGTAAGAACTCGTTTTGTAGGATTGAAAGTGTATGGTATGGTTCTTGTACAAGTGTTGTAAGATTCAGTGTGATTTCGGAACTCCTAGTCTCTGTGGTCTACCCATATTACACCGAGTTTCTGGGGTTGGGTTGCTGTTCTAGTAGTACCATTAGGTATTCTATTTTGCTTGCAGTGTCCAGCATGATCGGTGTAGTTGAGGCTATATCTAGTGGCGATGTTGTGTCCATTGTGTAGCGGTACATAGTGTCGACACAAGAGAATGTATGGTGTTCCTGGTTTTGGGTCGATTGTATTCTTCCTTTATTTTATCGGCCGGGGGTGTAGTAGTGTACTGGCAGCTAGGTGTTATCGTTTGGGCCGACAAAGTTAACGATGAGTGGGCTCTGTGAGTATTTGGGCTATGCCAGAAACACAGGCATCTCGGAGCTGGCTTGTTGATCTGGGATGTAACACAGACTGAGAGGATTCCCTACTGGTAGTAGCATGTTCTCCAAGGTATTGTTCAAGTGTTGTGTTAGGTTATGACTGGAGCACTTATACGTACTGTAATTGAAAAGCACCAATTCAGCCTCCATGTTTCGAGTGGTTCGGAAGGGTAGTTGTACTGAATCTGCAGCAACCAAACATCTTCAGATCGACTAGGATCCTAAACAACAATGTACCCTGCCGAATCTCCATCCGACAAAATCCTCAGATCGACTAGGATCCTTAACGTCAACAACGTACCGTCACCCCAGATCTGAAGACGCTGTCTTGAGTCTTATCAATTCAGTCACAACCAGAAAGGCTCAAGGTGACGAGATTTTCGAGCAGTCCTCGAGCAGGGTAGCCCGCATCATCATGCCTGCGCGTAAGACCAAAGGAGGGCCAAGCTGCAGGGAGAAGGAACCGGAGGAGGAGCAGGAGGTCGTTGAACCCCCTACAGAAGATGCTGATAAGAAGAAAACGAAGAAGCCTGCTAGCAGTGGCAGTGGTCTTGCCGAAACCTTGAAGCGAGGTGTAGCCTTGGCTAAGCTACGCAAGACAATGGATGTTCCTTGCAAGCCAGGTGAACTCATCCCTGAGAGCACCAAGCTTCTGGAAGACGGCTCGTGTGATCTCACAGTCAAGGATCTGATGGTGAATGATTGTCTTTCCTATGAGGACGCCATTCGTGTCATGATACAGCTTAGAGCTGAGGCCAATGAGCCTTCCACTGCTCCAAACACCAGCCCCTGTCCCGACAAGTCCAAGCCTAAGGCCAAAAGCACGAAACCCAAAGCCGTTAGTGAAGTGCCTGCTACTGGGAAGAATGGGGGAAAGGGTTCAGGTGAGGAGGAGTTGCAGCTTCCTTCCTTGAAGGGAGGGTCTAACCAGAAGAAAAGCAAGAGCAACAAGAAGGATAAGGCAGAGGAGAAGGCCCTCGACCCCCAGGTTGGAGAGATGCCACATGAGAAATCGAAGGGAAAGGCCAAGCGGGAGGAGAAGGCACACGAGCCGAAGGATGGAGAGGTGCCAGATCACGAACCGAAGGGAAAGGCCAAGCCGGAGGAGAAGGCACACGAGCCCCAGGAAGGAGAGGTGCCACATCCCACACGGAAGGGAAAGGCCAAGCGAGAGGAGAAGGCACACGAGCCCCAGGAAGGAGAGGTGCCACATCCCACACGGAAGGGAAAGGCCACGCGAGAGGAGAAGGCAAGCGGAGAGGTGCCAGATCCCACGAGAAAGGCCGAGATGGAGGAGAAGGCATTGGATTCCCAGGTAGGCGAGGTGCCACATCCCACACCAAAGAGAAAGGCAGGAAAGACCAAGAAGGACGAGACAGCACTCGAGCCCCAGGGTGGAGTGGTGCCACATCCCACGCCGAAAAAGGGGGGAAAGGCCAAGAGGGAGGAGAAGGCACTGGAGCCCCAGGATGAAGAGGAACATCCGAAGAGGAAGGCAAAGCGAGGAGAGGATGCAGACAACCACAAAGCGGCAAAGGAGGAGTCTGGCAAGAAGCGCACGGCACAGGCGAAGGCACCCACTGCAAGCAAGAAAGCCAAGACAAACAAGAAAGCCTCGGAGGAGCCATGTGAGAACGATCAGGAGGAGCCACATGACAAGGACCAGGAAGAGCCCCATGACAAGGACCAGGAGGAGCCACATGAGAAGGACCACACGCAGGAGGGTGAGACCGCGGATTGTGATGGGCTGAGTGAGCATCTCGAGAAGCTTCTTCAGGAGATGGACGATGATGCCCCTGCTGAGCCTGCTGAGCCTGCTGAGCCTACTGTGCCAACCCACCGAGTGCGAATCAAGCGTAGCGATGCTGCCTTTTTCGGCACCCCAACGGCAAAGGCCAATCCGGAGCCCACTGTAAGTGAATCCAAAGCAGCAAGGAAGCAAGCAAAGAAGGAGGCAAGGAGGGCCGAGAAGAAGGCAAGGAAGGAGCTTGCAAGAAACAAGCGCGTGGAGGAAAAGGCCACCTGTGATGAGACACCCACGGAGAAGGAATCCGAGGAGGAACCTGGGCTAAAGGAGGCCTCGACGTCAAGGAAGGAGCCCGAGGAGACCGTGCCAGGCAAAGACGAGGCAAAGACAAAGGAGAACGATCGAGCCCAGAAGGCCCCTTCACGCGTGCGAGAGTGGTCCCAGGATCGTCAGCCAGACACGCAGGACGGTGGCTGGTATCCTAGTTGCAACATGAGCCTAAATCCTTGCTTCTTTTCTTTGCCACACAATGCAAGGGGTATTGAAACCTCAACCTCTTATACTAGGAGCTTCAACATGAACACCGTCGTAGGACGACAAGCTCCAATGCATGTCCTACCCCTAACCTCCAAGCCTAATTTTCTTCATCTAAGGTCGTGTGCTTCTTTGGAGTTGGGACAGAATGCCCTGCGATCGCTGAAGGACCTTGAACCCTGAGCCCCCGAAACCCTACAATTTGGCCCTAAACCCTGCCTGTCCTTAAGGGGGCCCAAACACTAAATGCCGAAGGATCCGAACCTCGTCGACACGGTGTCCACCATCGGTGCCACTGCATCTGAGCTCATGGAGTCGTTCCTCGGATGACTCCCATCTAGAGTGTAGCCTCAACCTGCTTTCTGTGCCAGCTACTGTAATCTTGTGTGCTGCAAGTCTGGATTCTGGGTGTGTGGCATGCGCAAGATCACCCCGAAAATAGTGTAATCAGGCCCTGGTGGTGATATTTGGGAGCAGAAAAACTCCTGTACCTGCTGGGCTTTATTTTGTAGGCTGTTTTTGCAAACCGGTAGGTTACTGTAATTCCTATCTTTTGGGCCAGCTGCAACCCTTTCAAGTCTGTATGCGTTCCTAGAAGTGTTCCAGCTACCATACTCAAACCCCTCAACACTCAGGTAGTTCTATTGAAACCCAACATACTTTATAAAGCCCCCCTGAACCTCCTTTGCCCCTATGATCCCCTATGACCTACACCGAGAAACCCATGAACCCCCAAGCCATGAAAGCCGCCATACCCGAAGCCCGTAAAATCCCCACACCCCTAAACATCAAAACTAAGAGTTACCGTTATTGATTGGATGGGACCCGTGGATCTGTATCTGAGGCTTGGCAACTCGGCCTCGCAAGTTGGGTGTGGTGATGTCACACACCTGCTTGGGGTTGTGGCCAAGCTGCAAGAACAGCTCAAGCAGGCTGCTTCTGCCAGCAAGAAGCCAGCACAGAAGTTGCCGGCGATGCCTGGGGGTGAAGGTGCTGGGTCAAATGATGCTGATGGCTTGGATGGTGAGGAGCTTTCTGATGCCGAAGCTCGTGAGATTGATGGAGAGGAAGAGGAGCAGGAAGATGAAAGGGAAGAGGAGCAGGAAGATGAAAAGGAAACGGAGCATGAATCGGAGCAGGGAGCGGAAAAGGATGAGAAGGAAGGATGTGATGATGTCCATGCACCCTGCCCGCCAGAGTCTGAGGAAGATGATGGAGCAACTAGTGATGACGACGATGACTCGACATCCTCGGACGTGGCAATGGATTCTGAGGGGGAGGAAGCTTCCTCTGCCGTTACTCTTGCTGAGCAAGAAAAGGCAAAGCTGGCTGTCAGGCTTGACAAGAAAGCCCGTGCGAGCCAAGCTTCGAAGCGCACGGATCCAGCACCATCGGCGCCGCCAGCAGCCTGTCCTGAGCCGAAAGAGGTTGGTGTGGTGAACTCTACGACGCATAAGAAAGAATACATGCGGTTGGATTTTTGGCTGCATTCAATTGACTACTGTGTTCTAGTCTAGTTCTAGTGTCTGGTGAATCTCTTGAATGCAGCTTTGCTTGTGTCTGTATCCCCAGAAGCGGCTGATCGATGGGGGAGTGCTTGCAGAGCGGTTCCCGCAGATGCACGCGCTGTCTGAAGGTACGATCAAGGCCATCATATGGTTGTTTCACAGGGTTGGGTTTTGGTGTTCTGATGTGAGGCACGTGGCCTTACAATTGGCTGTGTGAGGCAATAGGAAATTGGATATCGGGAAGGCGATACAACAAGCTTCCACCCTAACTAATAACTAGTGCTCTGGTGCTCAAAAGAAGATGCCTAGTTTAGCATGTCGGGCTTCAGAGGTTGCATGCATCATCGGATGCATGTGTGTGGGTGAATGCGGGGGAGCATGTGCATGCTCAGCTGATATGTTGTCTACTATGGCAGGAGAAGGGGGAGTTGCTCAGGAAGTGGGTGGCTTCTGGAGAGAGCCTCCAGGCATGTGAGTCGCACATCGAGGCTGCTCGGACGAACTTGTTCCGCGGCCGCTCCATCAAAAAGTTGGTGCCAATCAAAGACATGAGTGCACCTCCTTACTCATTCAGTGCGCTGCTTGATTGCAATATTGCCAACACATGGGACTGATTCTTTAATCGTGAGAGTTCTCACCCTCGTGAGGGCAAAGATCTCCCACATCATCGCCACCCACCAGGGCCATCCGGATCCGGATGCGCCGGAGGTGCTAGAGGAGACTCGTTATTGGATTACCGTGGAGGAGAGCAGGGAGGACCAACTAGAGGTTCGGTTTCTCGGTTGCATCAATACAAACATGTGTAAACCGTGAGCTGTGATTCTCCTACAGCCCATTTGACCAGGCATCAGGAGAATCTTCGTGTGAATATGCGACCGACGGCCGAGAGTGCAACGCGTATCTTGAATGATCAAAATCTCACACCGTCTATGCTGGGACGAACAACCAAGCGCCCTGCCCCCATTGCGGGTGATGTGCTACGTGCCTACGACACCTTCTCGAACGCAGCGTCGAGTGTGAATGGTGGTGGTGCTTCAGGTTTCTTGATTGGCATACTGCGTCATGCACGGAGAAACTCCTTAGTTTGATCATTCTCTGGGTGTGGAGTGCCTGCATGTGTTCTCACATGCTCTAGAAATGATAGATAGCATCTGTAAAATCTAACAAACCCTAAACGTACAATCTCCAAACTGTGAGTGCAAAAAAACCCAAGCCTGTCCATTAATGCTCCAATCCTCAAAATACATATATATATATATATATAGATATATACACATATTTCTTTCTCCCTGTAGAGTCAAGTCCTCTAGAACATGCGTCGCAGGCTCGACAGCCATGGTTCCAGCAGGGCGAGGAGGCGGAGGCAACGGCAACAAGCGCCGTCGGGCGGGCAGTGCGGCCGGATCGAAGGGGCCTTTGATTGAAGAGCACTTCAAGACAGAGGCCGAGAAACATCAGAAATGGAGCATCTCGCTTATATACTTCAACTCTTGCGCTGAATTCTGAAAGCATGGGGTCTGGGTGGGCTTTAACAGAAGGGCTTCGGAATGTTTGATAAGATGGGCTCTTTAGGAGGGTTTGTGGGGCCTCGGGGTCTGGGTAGGCTTCACAAGAAGGGTTATGCTAGGGTTCGGTAGGTTTCAGGGTTTGGGTGGGCTTAAGTAGAAGTGCTTTTAAGCAGAAGGGCATAGGAGGAAGGCTTGTGGTGATTTCGATTAAGGTCTAAAAGGGTTCGTCAGGCTTCGGAAGGGTTCAACCCAAACCCCAAGCTGTAGTGACCAGCCCAAAACCCTGAAACAAGAATGCCAAAAGCCCTTCATCAAATCCTACAAGACCTGCATCGCTGAAGCACTGTTTGGCATCGCTTTGTAAATGAAAAGCTTCAAACCCAAAGACAAAGCCAATGTTTCACATATCCAGGGCTTTGTCACACGGTCGAGGATCGGGCTTGGGGGGTGGTGTAGTTCGTTGCTCACCTTTGGTATGGTACAATGATTTGGGGACCAGCATAGCAGTGGGTGTGGCCACAGCCATTAGAAGAACCATAACAGGGACATGAGTTGAGGTTGATTTCTTGGGGGAGGTGTACTACACTCGTCGGTTCATGCCCATCAAGTCCGAGCTAGACTCCAACGAGCCAGTGTGTTCATGCATTCACGACGGTGCATACGGGCAGGCTTATTGTGCTGTATGAATGTTTTACACAATCAGGAATATTTAATAGAGCCGGGCAAGGATTTTGGATCCAATCGAGATTCGGCCCCACCAAGACAGGGACACAGGAACATCAGACATGATATCTCATTACCCTTAAATCTTAAGCCTTAAACCCTTATCCCTAGACCCTGAAGCTCGGCTTTAGACTGGAATCCAGTATAGCAGGATTTGGGCTCCAGGTATCAAAACATATGTTCATGACCAGGACAAAGGCTTGCTGGGCCGAACCCTCCTTAGCTCTTCTACTTAGGCTGTGGAACCTGCAGGACTGTCCTAAACAACGCAAGCCCCTGGACCTACCGAGCCCTCCGAGCCCCCCTAAACCACTAAGCCAACCCAAGCCGCCCCACCCCCCCGGAATCTGCGACACAAGTTTTGTGCAATTCGTGCCATCAACATGGTGGCAATGAACATGTTCGGAGTGTCCCCAGATATACAGGCAAAGGTCAGAGACATATATACACACAATCATATGTATGTGTGTATATGTGTGTGTGAACATGCCCACATACATATCTACACATGCAAATATATATATATATATATATATATATGATTATATGTGTATCCACATATGCATGCACAAGTGAACACACATCATGCACACTGAGACACACACAACACGCACACACACACACACACACGCGTGCATGTGTGAAAACACACACTTGCCTGTCTATGTGCATATCTTGTACATACATACACATGTACATACTTACTTACATGCACACAAATATACAAGTTGCAAACAAACTACACATAAGGAGTGCCAGTGCTTCAGGATAACTGGCAAGGTGAGCAAAGGAGTTTGAAGCCTTTCCGAGCCTCAACAACAAGACTAGTGCCGAACCTCTAAAGTAAGACTAGTGCTACCCACTACTTATACCCCAAGTGCAAAACCCACGAACCCCTGAACATCCGAGGCAGCGAGATCAGGAAGGAAATGGGAGCCATCGTGACCTTGACGGTGGACCTGCCGCAGGATGACGAATTGAAGACTACCCTCGAAGCCGGACTGCAAGACCTGAAGAGTCTGGCCCTGGAGTCACTCTGCAATCTGAATGGTACAAGGTCTTGCTTTGCTTGCCTGGAGCATGATGTAGGATTGTGAGAGGTGAGGCCGTGATCATTTAAGGTTCAAGAAGGCGCGCACGTTCGAGCAGATGCAGCCCATCTGTGAAAGGATTCATGAAAAGGCCGTGGGATGATGTAGTTGAGATGGTATAGACTTCTGCACCATGCATGCTACCATTAATGCTAATTTGTGGAGCCTTACGGGACCACGATGTCTTCCAATGCACTGTACATTCTCTGAAACACTGAAAATGTACTTTTACTTGAACTTCCTCTGCTTCGTCAGGTTGCCTCCTTGAAGATCGACAAAGGGAAGGCCAAGGGCCTGATCGCGGAGCTGAAGAAGGATTCATGAGGTGCCGGGTCTCTCAGTGTAGCGCTACTGCCAAGTCCCAAGCCGAAGGTTTTCTTGACATGTGAGCCTATGACCCAAGTAGATGCTTACGTGTGCTTGGCTGTGCATGGGTCCTTTCACACAATCTTATACGGTGGCTGTTCTGTATTGCGTGCAGGTCCTGGGTGCCCTGGAGACAATCTGGGGGTAACATGGGCCCCTCGGTGTGCAATTGCAGTCGAGACTCCTAAAGCTTTGTGGTGTGGGTCGAAATGTATACTGAGGCTTCAAAGTGATCCAGCCTGGAGTCTTTTGAAGGTCGAGCACCACTGAGCCGCTGGGTTCTGGGGCTTTTGAAGCACTGTCTGATCAGAACCTCATCATCCTTAGGGCATTAGCCAGTGTCTAGATAAAGAGCCGTGGCAGGGGCTTGGGTACATTTTGTTCTGGGAATCTAGCAGTGAGCTGTACTGTAAGCTGTTTGCTGATCGACTGAGTCTGCCAAAGGTGGTATAATTGTGCTGGTTATGCCATGGAGGATGGGGATGATCTCGTTGGCGAGTGCTCTCAAGAGTGCAACCGATCGGCCAGGTTTCAATAGCCAGAGAACACTTTATGAGCCTGTGCTGGGAATGTAAGTCTCTGTCGGCCTGGGTTGCGCGTACTGTCTGTGCACTGCATGGGCATAAACCTGTCCGTTTCAGGCATGGGCCTGGCACATGCAAGACGTCTATCCAGAACTAACCCCAACAAACTTCAAAGCTGTAGCCTCAATCCCGGCCACAAGCGATGAAATGTTTGCTTGAGCTTATCGTGCCAAACCAAAACCAATCCCACAGCTTCAACAATATCTGTAGTAATGTTCTGGAGAACATTACCCCAATGCCCTGATTCATGTGGTACCAAGATGAGCTCTCAAAGAGGCCTCAGAAGTTGCCTTCGGTAACAAAAAACAAATTATAAGTTATGGCAGGGCATAGTAGCTGGGTTTGGCATGTACCTGCAGTTTGTACTCTGAGATGAAGATCATGGGCCATCGGCCATGCCGCTGGACGGGGACTGGTGCTGGTGAGTGCTCGGCTTGTTCTTACCGGGGGTCGCCTGGCCATGCGATTTGCGTGGTCGAAATCATCTTCTCATAGAACTTCTGCCATGAAGCTATCGATCAATCGTTGCTGCTTACTGTGGCACTGGACATAGAAAGAGCTGTCTGTGACGATGCTGAAATATGCCGAGCTGTGCAACTTTCAATCACATATCTTTGCTTAAGTGGCACTGGTATGTCGATCTGATATGTCTATGAAAAAAATGTCTCATCCACGCAGGTGTTGCAACTGCCTCTTGCTCGTCGGCGATCGTGGGTGCCACCAGAGAAGCGCTGGATAGAAAGATTCCTGGGCTTGTCGGTCGGTTTTTTGGGGTGACAGGGTCCTTTTGACCTAATCTGCAGACACCTTTGGTCCGGGATATACCATGTTTGGGTAAGGTTCGGTGCTTTGTAAGGTATGTTGCTACGGTCTGTGCTACTACCTGAGGATCATAGAGTCGGTGTGTCATGGCTACGCCACCATCTCTCTGGGATGTGAGCTCGGCACCTTGATGCAAAGGCTATGTATGACGTGTAATGTACATAGTGCTTGATCGTGATACATATGTTCTCTTCCTGAAGTCAAAACTTCGTCAACTTAGATGTCCTCGGTGCAGTCTTTGTGAAACGGTACACCGACAGTGGCCAAGTTTATGGTTATTAGGTAGTCGAGACCCCAACTCCAAACCCTATACTCCCCAAATAAGAAAATTCCAGACTCTGAAGCCCTAGACCTGGACTGTGCTCCGTGGCAGCCTTCCTCCCCGTAGCTCATATGCAAATGGACCTGAATCCAACTCCCAGGAGGAGTCGAATCTAACCCCAAGCTCGATGCCAGAGAAATACAAACTACAGCTGAGTACAACATTATCCCAAATGTGTAGACAACAAACTTACATAGCTGGTCCTAACACCAGAAGCCTACACCCTTGAGCCTGAAGCCTACAGGCATAAATCCAGCAACATATCCCAGACATTCGACCCTCTGCTTGAACTTAGAAAACTGTACGCTTAACACATCACATACACATCCCATGCAAAACCTCCTGCTACAGTTGCTACGATGCTGGTGCCAAACAATTATGGACTTTGAACCTTTTAGTTGGCTTCAAAAGGACAATCTTGAACAAAATCGACACCCCTTCAAGGTAGCATCTACGACTCTGATGTTTTGGCCGGCAGCAGCTCCAGGGCTCTTCGTGAAGATGAGCTCCACAAGCGCGCTGCACGGACTGATTGTGCCTTACATGCGGCGATAACTTGGCTTCAAACTCTGCAAACTGTGGAGACCTGTGACGTTACACTGGATGAGCAGCCTGCTGTCCTCAAGGAGTTCCCAGTCATGCTACCAAGTGCTTTTGCTGCTTGCTGAAAGCAGAATATTTTTGAACCCAGTTAGGCTTGGTTTCTCTGCAACCAGCCATTGTATTACATCCAAGGCAACAAGTATGATTCAACAGGGCTATGCGGACTTCCTCGGGCCTTTGGGCACTGAAGAGCTCGGGCTATACTGGGAGAAGTTTTTGTACGACCACAAGTCGCACCGGCTGTCGCAATGCACAAAAGAGAGGCTTCTTCGGACAGTCCCGATAGTTCTGTATGGTGATGAAGGAACCAGTGGCCAGAACTCTTTTATGCTTGGAACCTGGAGCCTCTGCTCATCTTAATTATGCATATTATGCGGTCGTGCCTAATTAAAGATGCTGTTTTTGGTTCCTGGTAATCTTTGAATAGGTGAACCTTTGTAGCATGTCCCATATCGCAGGATGCCAGACCTGTCTCCGGCACGCACCAACTCAAAGGCATCTCGGTACCCGATGTTTTGTATGCCGGTGACCTCCTATGCTTTTGAATACTCTGCTGAATCTGACAAAAAAGTCAATGTGAGTCTGCAATCTGTTCTTGCCGCCGTTGTTGAAGACATCAACGTACTTTCGGAATTTGGCTTGAAGACCGAGAGGCATGGTGCTTCTCGGCTGCATCTCGTACGTGTGGCTGTCCTTAGCTGGGCTTTGCTTTCAATCAGCACATGCTCCAATCTCAGGTCGTTTTCTTTGCGTTTGTGTGCCTGAAGGGTGACATCAAGTTTATGACACAAAGCTTGAACCTCACCAGGCATCCAGGGTGTGAGGAAGTATCTTTGATGGCTTGGGTAGCAGTTCTATACATATTCTCGGTCGAACGTTCATTTCCCTAGAACCGAACAGTTCTGCCTAATTCTAGCTAATGAAATGCTGTTCCAGATATGTTGGCGATGTGCTGCGACGAGAGGAAACTCACACATTGAGTGCGTTTACACGGACATTTCCGAGACTGCGGCATGGAGGTCTATGCCAGTTGGGGAACCCTGGGAACAAGAACCTGTCATTACCTCGATTTGGGGATGGGACCTATCTCTGGTAGGAATCGATTTACTTCATGTCCTGCACCTTGGAATACTTCGGGATCTATGTGGCAGTGCCATAAAGGTATTGGTGAGCAAGCGTGGATATTTCCGCGGAGCCACAATTGTGAAAAGGCTCCAGGAGTTCACTCGGCAACTGAAGCTTTATGCAAAAGCTGAGAAACTGCAGCTTTACCTCAGGAATGTGAAGAAATCAACGGTGGATTGGCGCTCTGACAAGTGCCCCGAACTGCGATGCAAGGCAGCCGATTGTGGCACAATCCTCAAGTTTCTTACATGGAAAACACAGCTGGAAGAGCCCCCGGCCTACAAGGGTATGGTGGCATGTATTTGGGCTGCCGACCGGTTTGTACGCATACTCTTTTCGGGTGGCATGTACCTGACTCCGGCTGAACGAGAATCGGCATATGCGTGTGGTGACATGTACTTGCATCTCTACATGTCCCTTGCGTGTGAAGCTGTGGATGCAGGTGCCCTTCTCTGGAAGATTCGTCCCAAGTATCATTACTGTTGGCATGTGGTCAACGACCTTCTATCGAAGGGTCGCAATCCATTCAAGGATGGGACATGGATGGATGAAGATGTTATGCGCCATACGTTCCATATGCGTCGTAAGATGTGTGCCAGAACATCCAATCTCAACGTGCTGAAACGCTTCCTAGTTGTTGCCAAGACGGCAATGGACAAACACTTGGGAGTATAAGCTTGAAAAAGACCAAGTCTCGACGGGGTCCGCTGATGTCGTCAGCGAGCCGCTGCTGCTGTCGATGCTTGATGCTGCTACCACTGCGATTGCTGCTGCTACCACTGCTGCTGTTCTTGGTACTGCTACTGCTACTCTTACTGTCGCTTCTACTGCTACATGCTAGCGCTACTGCCACTGCTACTGACACTGCTACGGCTCATGCTGCTGCTGCTCCTGCTGTTTGTGCTACTGCTACTGCTAATGCTAGTCTTACTGCTGTTTCTACACTGCCACTCCTAGTGATGCTGCTGCAGTGACAGCTGCTACTGCTGCCAGTCCTAGCAGTCTTGGCCTCAGTGGGATTACGACGACGACCTCTATACCACTACCACTATACCATTATGCCATTATACCACTGTACCATGATACCACTATACCACCTCCACGGAAACCACCACTTCTGCTCTTAGTGTTGGTAGGGCTACCACTGCTACTCATGCTGCTACTTAAATCGAAAGGCCCAAACACTTACCAGGCCTGTGTACCAGGAAAACCTCAGCACCACAAGAAACACCTCATAGTTAAGCCCTAGGTATGCAACAAAGTCTAAATCAGACAAGCATTCAAGAAGCACCAACAGTGGTCGCATCTTGTGCAGTGACATCAACAAAATCAACATGAATTAACAGTGCAGCAGTAGCAGCGGCAATAGGAGGAAGTGATTCGTAGGAATAGGGGCAAGACTTGGAGTGGGAGTCGGAGTAGTTGCAAGGGTAGGAGCAGCACTGAGGGGTAATTAGGATTAGGATTAGGAGGAGTCGTATAGTTGTTGTCGTCGAAGTCGTCGTCCTCCTACTACAGCTGGAATGGTAGGTGTGTGTGTGTGTGTGTGTGTGTTTGTGTGTGTACGTATGTGCGCGCTCTTGTTCCTGGAGCGCGTGTGAGCGCGCATGAGCGCGCGCATGCCACATATGTGTGAGAAAAGCTATAGCCTGTGCATGCTGAGATGTGCGCGCTCTGCTTCTGTGAGCGCGCGGCGAGTATGCAACCATCAAACGACGCTGTATATCTGTACATATGTATCTAATATATAGGCATGCACGTGTGCCCGTTGGAACCGGCCCTTGTAATAATCTATATGTACCATGTATACCATAGTCACGTTAAAACTTGCAGTCACACTGCAAAGCTTGTGTGTGGGGCCAAACCATCTTGGAGATTGAACCTAGGCCGGGGTAATAGGTAAATATTTTATGTGTGAAAGCTGCAGTATTCAGCAGTTTTTATCAGAAAACCGAATCCGGGCCTTCGACTCTTAACCTTATCAACCCTATAAATTGAAGACATGAGACCCTCTATCTCCTAAGCAATCAACACCGACAAAAAACAAGAGCTCTTGAATTCTGGTGCTGGGGTCGGATCGGTGCCTACTGCATGATTAGTTGCAATAAAAGACAAGCACAAAATCTAAAAAGTCTCCAGACTTAAGCTGCTTAGTAATGTTTTCGAAGACAATAAAGTTGAAATGTTATGTTTGTGACCAATGCCTCCACACGAGAATCCTGAAGCCAACTGGCCTCCGCCCTGGACAGAGTCTTGAACAATCAATGAAAGCTGAGCTTTCCAATCCGGTATATATATATATACTTATATACTGACTGACGTATGGAAGGCATTGAACACTTATCGATGGGAGCATGGACGTATATCCGTATATCCTTGACCCAGAGAAACATATGGAAACCAAGTATGGTTGCAACACTCAAAGGGATCTCAAAGGGTGTGCCAATGTCCTACTGGGTACCTGATGTTGCCCACCGTGTGCAAGGCAGCAGCTCATGCTATTGCTTGTTTCGGATATATATGCTGTTGGAATTCCTCTGCTTGTCAAAAGAAAAAGCCATAGAATCCGAAGATCCATAACGAACTTAGCGACAAAACCTACTTAAAAAACAAAGTGGGCTTAGGCAAGAATCCGTTTGCAAGGCCTGGAACCATTTAAGTATGTTATGGTCCACCAGGTGGTAGAAGCTATCTGCATGCGCGAGTAGCCGGCCAAGAACACGCCACTGGAATTCCTCTCCTTTCAGATCTATCCTCTGAGAGGGATCGAATTCCTTGAACTCCTCGTTTGTCAGGTCATCCGCTAGCTGGTTGATGTCTCTCCGTATCCACTGGAGCTGTAGCTCACAGTTTTTCTGGGATAGCTCTTCTGCTATCTCCATTAAAACTAGCATGGAGGGATACTTGGTCGTCATAGCCTTCTTCACAAGTGCCTCTTTTGCTTGTTGGGTTCTCGCGCCGCTCGCACAAGTGCAAGCGACGTGTCAAGCGGTCGACTTCAGGAAACATGTCACTCAAGCACTGTACTGCACGAGAAACAAGTTTCACACACAGCTGTACAAGATGCCGGCTCGCACGGTTGCCTGGGGTCCGACGTGAAAGACTTCGGCACTCGAGTGAGAAACGCTCCTTGTGCTGCACTTGCAGGCAGCATCGAGAGCTCACAACTTTCAAACAAGTGGCACAGTGGTTCGGGGTGTACAGGGGGAACTCTATGCACACTGAAGGTGAGCAGCAGCTCAGACTGTTTACAAAAGGCGAGTCCTCATGAGAGCATGAAGACCCTACTACAGCTTCAGTTGACTACAGCGAGGCAACGAAGAGGCCTACTCCTACAAGACTGTACAAGTAGCTCAGTTGACGAAGGTGTTGGAACTCAGTTCACCTCGTCGCGGCAGCACGAGCAGCCAGCGCCACCAGCCGCCCAGCAGCCGTCCGCAGCAGCACCACAGCAGTGCCAGGAGCACCACTGTTTCGCAGTGACAGCCGAAGCCAGGGCCGGACTAGTAGGCAGCAGCAGCTCACCGTCGACCGAGAGCCGAGTAGCGGCGGAAGAGGTACCCCCAGCAGAGAGGCGGTTCAGAGTGGCGAGACCAGGCAAGTCCCCTGGGCCCGCAGTCAGCAGTCAGCAGCGAAGAGCACCCCAGCGCTCAGGCAGCCCAGAAGCAAGCAGCCCACAGCAGCCCAGGCACTGAAGTGCCAGCACGCAAGAGGGTTGGGAAACCGGGCCTAAACCCTAGTACTAAATGCCAGCTCCCGGGGGGGAGCTGGCATCGCAAGTGTCTGCGGTGCCGGCTCGGGGAAGACTTTCAAGGAAGCAGTGGAGCCGCTCAGCAGCCTTAGCCGAAGCAGTGACTGCAGCAACCTCCCAAGCCTTTGCACGAGCAGCTTCAGCTACCCACTTTTCCCTGAGTGACCCCTTGAGTCTTCTTGAAACACAGTCCTTGGCGGCACGATCAGCAGCATCGTTCAAGGATCGCAAGAATGAAGCGCTGAACGGAGAGTTAGAAGGAGCCCAGGCCGCTTTGCGGTTGTGTGCCGGAACCCACATGAAGCGAAGGTTGATTGCATAGCCTCGGATCTCGGCAGCAAGCTGCTGGAAACGAGAGGTAAACAACGGAAGTGACGGACAACAGAAGCGAGCCTGAAGGGCAGCCGAACAGTCGACAGCGATGGTGATGCTGCCCTTGGCTCCTCGCGAGGCGGCCACACTCACAGCTGTAAGGGCAAGAAGCAAAGCTTGTAGCTCTGCCCGAAACGATGACTGGTCTTCGCAACTGTCACCGCCGGCGAAAGTGTTTGTGCACCGGTGCACTACGACGGCGTGTGCCGCCACCCCGTTCTTTGAAGAACCATCGGTCGCAATCGCAATGGACTCAGATTCACTCATTTCATGCAGGATGACCTCCGCCGTTTCCTCAACAAGGCCTGCTGGATCAACAGCAGGCGGTGGAGGCGGAGGCTCTGCAAGCTGCTTGGCCAGTAGCCTCTCCTCACCCCTATGATGGGGAGGTTCTATGCCCCTCCTGAGGTCGTCAGTGTGTGGACATACCCATAGCAAATGAGCTCGGCTCGGTCGGAGTGCCCCGCAAAGGCACCTGTGGTGCTGTTGGTCTCGGCGAGGCCCTACGCTTTTCTCAAAATGCCACGTGGTGCCACCTGAAAGAAAAGCCGCCCTACGATTGTAAAGCGAAGATCGGTCAGCTAAAACACTTTTGTGGCCCTGCAGAAGGATGCGAAAATCCTTCGGTGGAGCCGGAAGCTCGAGACCTCTAGCCGCACCATCTTCGTACACAGTACACACGATGCATGTTATACGACACTCGCTTGCATCTGCCAAGGTATTGCTGGCGATAAAACCCCTCAAGCCAATTTTGAACAATACGAAAGCTTTCGAGACCTATGTGAACCTTGCGAAGGGCTCCAGCAGCATCCCTCCTGCACAAGGTAGTGGCGTCATGAGAAAACCACCAGCCAGTGCGACTGAGAAAGTGTTCAGTCTCTGGAAGTCGAACATGCCAGCTCCCCGGGCAGTGGCCAATCGGGATTTCCTCCTGCCAACCGGGAGGTTTTGAGACCCATCGCCAAAACAGGCGGCACAGGCCTAAGTCAAGGGCGAAAGAAGGTTCAAGGCCCCAACCTAAAAGCTCGTAGAAAGCAACCGTGGCAACATCACCCCCATAACCCGAGCTGAACAGGAAGCGGACCTCGTGCTGCACAGCTTTGACATCAGTGTCACTCGGTCTGGCGAAGCCCGCCGCCCACGCCAAACAAGGCATGACAAGCGACCTCACAAGCATTATTCGGGAAGTGGTTGCAGCCTGCGTCCACCGAAGCAATCGCAATCTGAGAACCGCCTTGCGAAGTGAAAATTTTGGGATAGCCCCTGCCCCCTCAAAATTAAAGGACACGCCGAGCAGCTCAAGGGACCCACAAGTCTGAAAGTTCCACTTGGACGCAAGGAGGCGGGTGGCCTCATTGTGATGCTTGGCAGCAACAAAGCATTTGTCCTCCGCGAGCTGCAACGAGAAAGCCTGATCAAAGTCTGCACTGGCCTGCAAAGCGGCATCAAGGTCTTGAATGGATCCCTGAGGTTCCACCCAGAGAGTGCGGTCGTCCATGAAGATTTGAGCACCAATATTGCCAGACGAGGCCTTGACATACTCACTCCAGCA